CTTATGCAATGAAGGAGTATTGAAATGTTGAAGAATTGTGTATAAAATGAGAGGATTTGGGTGCCATTTTATAGCCCAAAATGGGATAAATCCGTTGCTAGAGTTTCCAACAGGATGAAGACAAATTTTTCAGAGACACAGGGTGATAGTCGATTGTCAAAGCTTGATAATCGATTATCCAAAGATTCCCTGTCCAAAAATTTAAAATTCTATCCGTTGGAGGACAACGGTAACCCAGATAATCGATTGTCAACAAGTGATAATCGATTATTGGTCCTCTCAGAAGATTCTGGGTTTTGGCTGCAAAGACTGGTAATCGATTATCGCAAAGCTGATAATCGATTATTGCGTGCTTAAGAACTTTGGAAGTTCAAAGCTGCAGGGGCTGATAGTCGATTGTCACTAAGGTGATAATCGATTATCACCCAGCTAAAGTCTAGCCAGCAGAAACCCGTTTTGAAAAACCGAGGTCCAAAAACGAAGTGTTCCCAAAAGTAAAAACCAGGTTTGGAAAATATTGTATATGGTATAAAATACTGAAAACAAGACTTTTTTGGTAAAAACCAAGTCTCCAAGGTCGTATAAAACGTGCTTACGGTTTAGACCGTTTTTCATGCGTAAGACCGATTAACCAAGATACAAAAGTGGTTTTTATAAAATAATTATTTGGGAACATTTTAAAAATGCTCAGAGCTAAAAACAGGGTTTAAAATATTGAAAACCATGGAGTTGGTTCGGGCGCCAAAAACCGAACGCCGAAAGCCGAACGCCGACTTAGGTGGTTTCGGTTCTGAGCAAGGACCAGGGATTTTAACAATAAAAAAAATCATCAAAAATGTTTGTTTTGATGCACAAAAAATATTTTATGATTTGTAAAAATTGTTTTGACTTTTTGAGAACCGAGACTTGAATTTATTGTCGGTTTTGATCACAAAAGATCGACTCGACTAAGTCTCTAATTCTTGATCTTGTCCTTGAGTCTTTTAGGTCTTGTTCCAAGCCATTCTTCACACCTTGAGTTATTCAACGAAACTCTTTATATCCACGGCGGTTTGGCAATTATCAAACCTGTCAGAAATGAACACGACTTTAGTTTATCGTACAAAGTGTGTTCCAACAACAACAATATAGTTATTAATCATCATTCAGCCACAGTATTTCCAACAAGTGATTCTCTAGTTTGGTCTACGAATTCTGTTATTACATTTTTATCCAATCACCGAATATTCATGTTTCACAAATCCATAATAACATGAGATCTATTCTATAAATCTTCTAGATAGCCTTAACATCAATTATCTAAATGGATATATCTTAGAGTTCTTCTAGATATCCTTAACAATATAAATCATTTCATGATTGTTGATGTATTCATTTTAATCATGGTTCAACCTTTATTAATCATTTTAATCAGTAGATTCATCATTCATAATCATCATTCATTCTAGTCATCAATTAACATAACATCCAATAACAAGTAACGGTCTAGTTTCGAGTGATAACACTCTAACTTACCGTCATGCATCACATAAGGTTTTATTTGTTAAAAACATCATTTTCATCGTGGAAAATCATCCTTATAATGATCAAAATCCATTGGTATCAAAAATTGGATTTCATAGGTCAAAAACCATGTTTTCTGAACAATAACCGATTAATATATGATAGGAAAATCGATTAATTGCTAATGACTTCAACTTCTTCAGTGGAATAATGTAAAAATCGATTTTTCATGTCCAATAATCAATTTTTGTATAAAAATAATCGATTTTTGGGTTCTAAGTTCGATTTCCCGACCAAAATGAAAATATAATAGACTTTTCATTCAATAATCGATTATTCGTCATCTTCTTCCTCGAGCCAACTTTCGGAAATGTCAGTTTTAGTCACCAAACTTCAATTAAAGTATATAAAAAGGTTCTCCAGGGTTCATAGATCATTTTTGTACCATTAGTTCGTAGTTTTAAACACAATTTAAAGGTTTATGATTCTTGGTTCTTCAAACATGTCAAACACAAAACTCAACCAAATGAACGTTTATGAACGTAGAAACGATCTATATGAACATTCTAGTCACTAGATATATCTACGGGCTTACCTCGAAGCTTAACGAAGGTTTTGGAAATTTTCTAGCGAAACTTCCGGCGAACACCACCGCTTGCTCCGGCAACCTCGACGGCAACTAATACTATCAGATTACTCCCTCCACTCTCAAGATTCTTATGGAACTAATTTCATAAAGTTTGGTGAATATTTGAAGGTTTGAGTATTCCTTATATAGGAGTTGATGAGGGGAAGAGGATAGCTTGATTGTAGTTTCTGCGATCCTGAGATCGGCTAGTGCGAGGCGCCGTTCGCACAATGTCCCTGATTGGGACCAATTTTGATTCCAGTCGGGTTATACTTTTTGGTCCAACTTTCTCCGAATTGAAATCCGTTTGCACCGTTGCGATCAGACACTCGAATTCTATTCAACGATATAATTTATATATTTATTTGTAAAACTTTCTCCGACATCAAATTTTTGGGTGTTTGACTTTGACAGAAATCAGAATTGATTTAATTGACTTTTATCATAAAAGGTTCTTTCATTTAATTTATTCTCGTGGTTTATTTCAAGAATTCAATTCAAAGTTCATATCAGAATAATTTCTTCATTTATCCTTGATTTGGGTCTGTACTCTACTTCCCAATCAAGATCACACAATAAGTCAATCAAGTTGGATTTATCTCTATGAGATTTATCCCAATTATGTTTATTGGATATCAATATATATTTTATTTCGGTCCAAAGCCCAACAACAATTTATTTTAACCAAAACAAATTTGATTATTCGAATAATTATTTATTAATAAATCTAGGGTATGTTTTGGGGCGTTACAAGTTCTCTCATATTGTTTTATTTTAAAGGGTAAATATCACATATGGTACACCAACTTTGGGGTAAATTTCACGTATGGTACACCAACTTTGGGGTGAATTGCACGTATGTGCACCAACTTTGGGATAAATTTCACGTATGGTACACCAACTTTGACGTTTATTTCACGTATGGTACACCAACTTTGACGTTTATTTCACTTCGGTATACAAACTTTGTTTTCTATCAGAAAAGTACACAAATGTCTTGAATGAAATACGATATACTTAGAAAAGTTATGAATTGGATTGTACAAAATGCTTCATTTCACATATTGGAAGCTAACAAGTTTATGCACATACACATGCCACATTGTTTACTTGATGTCAATCAAACAAAAACCAAAAAAGACAGCAAGAAAGGCACAAAGACTGCCCATTTACAAAAAAAAAGAGTACCAACATAGGGGTACCAAAAAACAAAGACCAAAGGTGTACATAATGTAATACAAAATGACCAATTTTAGAACATTGTAGTCCCTACTACCACATTCTATGTCCAGCTAGCAAAAACTAAAAAACCACAGCTGCAACATTGTAAATTATACTAAACTGGAGTAGGATCATATTCTTCGGTTGGACCTGATTTGCTTCTCTTCTTTCTCTTCCCTTTCACTGGTGGTTCTTTCATCTTCCTTGTTCCGTCTCTAGCTGTTGTTGCTTTCCTTTTACCCTTTCTCTGTCATATACACACAACCCATATTCCATCTCAAATATGTACCCACATAAATAAAAAATTAATATTTGAGAAGACTATTTAGAAGACATGGTTTACCTTTTCTCTTGATTCTCCATTGCCTTTACTAGAGTGAGACCTTTTGTTGTGGCCAATTTCACCACAGACAGTCACTACTACAAAAACTGGAAAATGCATCGGTTATTTTAGACCAATTGCATCAGTTTTTTTCTGATGCTAATGCACACGATGTAAAAGGTCCAAATCAATTGCATCGGTTTCCATAACCGATGTAATTGCTATCAATTGCATTGGTTTTAATTACCCCTGCGGTGCACAGTTTTAATTTTTCTTTTAATAAATGGAGCAAATGCATCGGTTATTAAGTAATAACCAATGCCATTGATAGCCAATTGCATCGGCTATTACTTAACAACCGATGCATTTGCTCCATTATATTAAAAAAATAAATCCGCTTCAGGTAGTAAGACCTGAAGCTCAATAAACAAATGCCTCCTCTTTGCTTCGATTGAAGGAACAAAAGGAGCAAAAAGACCAGCAAATTGAAGAAGCCATACTAACCAAAGGAAGAAACATCTCTCAAATATAATTCAACTAAAATTGAAGAAGAATTACAAACTAAAGAAGAATTATGGAATCAATTTTGAAGAAAAAATACATATTTTACACATCAAATTTTAAGAAAAAAGTTGATGGTGGCGAATCGCTGCTACTAGGGCTTCAGATTTGAACTCAAGCCAAACGAACCTGTACTTGCATGCCGTCAAGGAAATCCAGCGGACAATGGAGTCGACCACGCTCTCTAATGACCGGAGCAAGGCAAACTTATTGTTCCAGATTGCTTTATGATGGCTCAGCTCGAGGATGAGTTTCAAGGATTCCTAATTGCTCACTCCAACCCTATCTGACCAGATTCGTTGCTCGATTCGAGCTCTTCCTCTTCCAACATCGAGATGAGCTTGGGAAAACGAGATGAGAGTCTGTTGACCGGCGAATTGCATATCTACGATCGAATAACATAATAGGAATTTCAGATTTTGTAAAAGATTTCTGATCGAATAGGAATTTTAGATCTATGATTGAATATCATAATAGGACTTTCAGATCTATGATCGAATAGCTCTTCTTCTTCCAACTCATGTCGTCGAACCTCAGGAACATCACCGAGTAGTTGATTTCCTCCGGATTTTGTAAAAGATTTAGGGGAAATCAGATTTGTTTGTGATGTGTGATGATAAAAAGATTTGGGGGACTTAAGAAGAAAGATGAGAAACATAAGAGAGGTTTAGGAATCGTAAAATATACGCCCACAGGTTCAGGATCGGTTTTTAAGAACCACCGATGCAAAAGCCATCCAGTTTAACAACCTCTTTTAAATCGGTTATTCCTAAAAACCGATGCAAAAGGGTATTTGCATCGGTTATAAGGAATAACCGATTTAAAAGGGTTTCAGCATTTAAATCGGTTATTCTTAATAACCGATGCAAATACCCTTTTGCATCGGTTTTTAGGAATAACTTATTTAAATGCTAAGCGGTTGGTGAATTTTTTTAGCTTTTAAATCGTTTATTCCGCTGACCGATTCAAATAGGGCGATTTATTTGGTCGTTTTTGTACTAGTGAGTGTATTTCATGCGCATCTTTCCTTTTTTGCTTAATCTTCCTCCTTCATTGTGCTATGAGGAACCTGCAT